GGCCCTCAAGAAACTTCAGCCCTATCTGTATGGGCGAGCGTTTACCCTTATGACCGACCACAACCCCCTGGTATGGCTCAACCGGGTAGCTGGTGACAACCCCAGGCTACTCCGGTGGAGCCTAGCTCTCCAACCATACAATTTTACCATGCAGTACCGTCCGGGTAAACAAAATGGGAACGCGGATGGACTGTCCCGCCAGACCGAACTGGACACCTAAAAACATACTTTCATCGGACATCCCCAAGCCAACCCGACAGGGTCTAGGCGGGTATGCCGACCTATGGACTTATAGGGGAGCAGTGTGAAGAAATGACTCCGTTAATCAGGATTTCTACCTTTCGGATGTATTCAGGCGAATTCCCTGTGTAAAATATAGGTGGCCGCCATTTCGGCACTTTACACGTGGTCGCAGCCATTTTACGTGCGAACAGCGGTGTTTGCCCGTCAACGCGTGGAACTAAAATCGGATACGCAAACAGGCGAACACCGCTGAGACCTCCATACATCCAGAACTTCGCACGAGAACAACCGAATCACCGGCCGTTCGGTAGTTACATGCAACTTCGTATGGGGATTTCAACGATCCCAAAGATGCGAATGGATGGCAGGGCTTTCGTCTCTTTTATTCGCCTAAACGGAGACCGACCGCAGGGCCAAAACTTATGGAACTATTTTCGGCTAGATTGTCCGTGCGGTCGGTCAAAACTTTAGTGTTCCATAACTCCCGAACCATTCATCCGAATGGACTGATTTTTCGATATGTTGTCCACACAAATGAGAACTATCCAGCGGTACCAGATTTATAGGTGTACCCCCTGTTTTTGGGGTACATCCAGAACTGGGGTAAAATAGTGCACGTTTTAATTAAGTTAACTGTTTATCAGAGGGGAGGGAGGTATGGGCTGTAACCTATTCCTGATTGGTGATTTAATGCCTCCCCCTGGGTGTGTATTTCTTGTCTGTAACCGTAATAAAAAGCAGGCTGGAGATTCCAGACCTCAGATCTACTTGTATCCTGATTCTGGACTCTGACTGTTATTTGGGAATTCGTATGCTTTACCAAGGGGATTATCTTGGGAAGCTGTTATATTTCTTAGGGACTTCATTGCTTGGAACTACCTTAGACGCTGGCATTGCAGGAGGAATTATCAAAGCGGTTCAGCTATATGGGATTTCCTTACAGTGGTATCCTGGTACTTGACCAGAGTACAATGGACTAGCTGGGGTGGAGGGTCTGGCAAGTTACTTGGGAATTAAATAACCTCTTATAGTGGTTAGAGACATACTATGATAAATAAACAATGAGTAAATGTAAAGGGCATGTCGATGAGAATGTAGTCCTGTATCAAATGGCAGCTCGCTAAGTGCTGGATGGTGATATTCATCCAGAAATTAGCTATGCAAAGGAAAAGTGAGGCCTTGCTAAATTCTAAGTGGCTCAGTGAGTGACTCAGCTCTAGCTGTGATTTTGGCCAAGGGACTGAGGCCACAGAAAGAAGTGACGCAAATATTGGTCTCTCTGTGACAAGTAAGAGATTTAAATGAGTGGTCGTGACAGGTGAGGCCCTATCTAATAACCTGTAGAGATTGGAGGGAGGCTATAGTTATGAGTTGGGCCAATGGGTGAATACCTCCGCATGAGGATGGGTGTTGGCCTCGCAGGACTGAATTATGAATATACTAGAAAATGGCCCGCACCAAACCATTTGCAGTCAGGTGATCTATCCCTAAGAAGTGTTGGGGAATAGAAACAATAAATTGATAGAAAGTATGTTGGAACTTACATACCTTGCCCAATTAGTGAGGTTGAGCTTGAGAAAGGATATCGTAGAGAGGAACCTAAAGACACAATGGGAATATGTCCAGGATGGTGTAAGTGCCAATTGAGATAACGTACCCATGTTGTGGTTAAGGATTAATACGTCAACAACAGGTTGATAAGTAAGAATGGTGGGAACCTAGAAAAATAGGGGAACCTATGTATAATGAGTATAATAATATAATATAATAACCTAGGCCAAACAAAATTAGTATGGAAAAGAGATACCTGATCGAACTGAATCTAGATAGGAGTTCCCACTGTGCGTCCTTCTACTAGAAGGACCTGACGTATGTGTAAGAAAGAATAGCCTACGTAATTAAACGCCAAAACATGTATATCACATCTCTAACTTACTAGCGTGAAGCAAATTATGAGATCTAGTAAGCCTTAGATGAAGGTGTGGGTTATACTAATTTAAGTAAAACAGACAGATTTAAAAGGCCTGAATACGTATAATTGCTAAATGAGGGATTCTGGGTTCTTGGGAGTGTGCCGAGAGAGGGGTCATATAAGGAGGAGTTGCATAGGCCTAGCAAGGCAGTGTAGAATTGTAGAATGTGATTTGAAAGGGTTGTAGTTTCCCCTCGTAAGCAGGAAAATTTTGTATGTAAATGCCCAAATGGGAGGCCAAAATTGGATTGTAGTGGTTTGCCCGAGGAGGGCCGGATGTAGCCGTTTGGAGTGAAGGCCTAATGAGGGCCATGTGTAGAGGTATCATAGCAAAAGTCAGAAAGTGCATAATATAAGTCCTGAGCTGCAGGATTGAAAAAAAAATAGGGCTGTATAAGGGGTATGGATGTATGGAGCAAGCAAATGTGGAATAAACATAGAGGTTGTAAGAGTTGTGTTGAGGCCAAGAATCATGCCTTTATTGTTTTTTTTTCAAAGGAAAATTAGGTAAATTACCAACATGACAGATTATTAAGTGTCTAGATGTAGGTGACTTGTTATTTGCAAGTTGCCAATACCGTGCTAGACTGAAGTAGCTTAGTATGTGGACTAAAGATAAAACTTATTAAGGAATTAAGGTTTCCTATATGCCTTATGCTCCGAGA